GAGCTTGGGAGGGCTGACTGATCCCAGTCTCTGCAGTGCCGGGGCTCAGGGCAGTTCATGCACCAAGGTGTGAGTGTATGTGTTGAGCAGGTAGGCACAGTTCTGAGAGGCAGAGTCGGGCTTTACGTGTCTGTGTGTGGCTCCAGAGGCATTCTCACCTGGCAATCGAGTGCTTTTCCACAGTGATCTCAAGTCCTTTACTCCTTCAACCACCCTGATTCCTGTGGCTTTCCCAGGCTGGTGGGCAAAGGGATCTGGGGACCCATTTTGTAGCCTGAGTTCCTAGTGAGGAAAGTGATCTGCTCAGATTAACCTAATCTCAGGGGTGAAACTGAGTATAAGCCCAGGTGTTGTAGCATCTAATCAAGTCCTTCTGGTCCACACCATACAGCCCCTTCTTTTTGGCTGCCCAGTTCTCTGCAGGCTGTCTGAAGGAGGTGAGTGTGAGCGAACTTGGGCGAGAGAGAACTCTGGGGTGGTTCACAGAGTTGCTCAAGCTGCGGCCAGGATGCAGCTTCTGGGAGAGGTGCTCTCTGGGCCTGGTGAGCTGGGACTGACCCTCATGTGCTCCTCTCCTCAGGGTAGGCCTGGCTCCAGCTGGGGATCCCATGCAGCCTAGAGTCACAGGGGTGATGGGGCTTCCTAGGCCTTGCATAATCCTCCAGGGTGATGGGGAATGTCTCTGGTCCTGCAGGGAGTGGCATCTTGATCTATTTCCTCCTCTGGCAGATTCCTTGGTAGAGGGCAAGGTAGAGGAGCCTTGTGACTTGGAGGCACTAAAATGGACATGGCTGAGGGTAAGCGTAGCCTCATCTTCTCCAAGGACTTCTACCTCCTGGGCGAACACACGGTGGCTCAGGGCTGATTCAGGGGTGCCCTTTCCGGATGCTGGGGTGGTAACTAAGGAACTGCTGTAGGCTCTCCCTGGCCTGAGGTCACTGGTACTCTCCTTGAGGATTCCCACCAGGAAGTGAGTCCAAGGGCAAGGGGCTTGGTCCCCAAGACCCCTTTTCAGGAGAATTCTATGGGCAATCCTCTTGGAGCCCCAAAGTCTCGGGTGGGGGGAAGGGTAGTATGGGTGGTGTTTTTTTTCCCCTTTTCACTGAAAGGCATTTTTGCACATGACTCAAACAAGTCTAAACTTTCCTAAACTTCAAAGTTTGCCCATGGCACAGCCTCAAAGTGCAGGGGGAAATGTTAAAAAGGAAAAAAGAAGTTTGTTAGCCAGTTAAACATTGTGTTTTTGCTCCATAAAGGAATTGAATTAGCTTGTTATGTTACTATTAGTGTCCCATTGTGAAACCAGTGTTGGGGAGAGGCTTCTCCTCTGGGTGATGTGGTATCTGGGCCGGTCCCCAGGTTCGGCTCTTCACCCAAATGAGGTTGTACAGGGCATTACACAACCTGTGGTAAGAGGAAGGAGTCCCCATGGCAATAGGCCTGGCTCCCAGGGACATTTTCAGGCTCCTGGCAGGAGGCCTGGTCGGGGTTGGGGGTGCTCCAAGTGCCTGCTGTCCTTCACACCCCACATCTCCCCCCTCCCCTCAAGCCTTTGCTGCAGGAGCTGGGAGGTCAGAACAGTGGAACCCTGCTGGCATGCCTCATGAAGCCACTTGCCCATGACCTAGGCACTGAGCGTCGATCACAGAGTTGTAGGGGCCGTGCAGGTCCTGAGGCCAGTGGTTGGCCTTGAAGAGGCCCTTTCTCTGCTCTCTGTCCCTATTCCACATCTTCTTGAGCAACACCATAGAGCTGTGCTTAAGAGGCTGGCTTTGGGTCCCCAACTGCATAGGTTCCTGACCATGCTCTGCCACTTACTAGTTGTTTGACTTGGACAAATAAAAATAACTTTGGCCTCCCTGTGTCTCAGTTCCCTCACCCACAAAATAAGGAGAATAGTAGACTTATTGTATATTAAGAATATAATATTAGCTACTTTTACTACTGTTTTCACTGCCTTTACTCTCTGGCTTAGGCCCTCCTTACCTGACCCTCATAATGTTCAGGTCCTGGCACATAGTAGACTATAAAGAAACATTTAAGGGTTGACCTGCTTAAATGGGTCCCTTGCCTCCACTCTCTTCCCCTTTCCATCCATTCTACACACACCAGTCAGATTAATTTTTCTAATGCACACGTCACTCTCTTCCTCAAAAAATCATCAGTGAGCCCCCCCTTATTTACTAAATAAAGTCCCAAAGCCTCAGCCTGACAGTTTGAGTATATCTCTGGCCTGCGCACAGCAATGCAGTGTGATGGTGAGAGCATGGCACTAGTAGAAGGTGGCAGCTACATAACTTTGAATGAGTAATCTTTTTGTTCCTGGTTTTGCTCATTTTTCTTTAACATTGAGGTAATGATTGAACCTACCTACAGGGGTGTTATGGGGGTGACAAAAGATAACACATATAAGGTTCTTAGCACTGTTCGCTCTACTAAGTGCCCAGTAGATGCTTGCTATATTAATTATTAGTAGCTCCCCAAGTTTCCTAACATAAATCTAGTCTTCTCATTGTCTCCTGAGTGAGTACCCAGGCCATGCTTCATCTGGGTCTTTGCCATCTCTCACCCAACAGAACCCTTCACCTACACCCCACTGAAATCCTCCCATCTTTAAAGACCTTCTTCAAAACCCACCTCCCTCAATACTGCATCTGGGTACCCCAGCCCATGGGACGTGCTCCTGCCCCCTGTGAGTACCTTTAGTGTTTCTGACTCGTATCATACAGCACACTCACACCCCTCAGCACACTGACCATCTTCTGGTTTTGCAAAGGCACAAAAGCTCCTTCCTGTCCCACAGCTATTGTAGTCTTCTGCCAGGAATGCTCTTCCCACTCCATGTAGTCCAGCCAACTCCTACTCATTTCTTGAAGCCCAACTTGTTTTCTAGGGAAAGCCTTCCCTCACTACAGTTTGTTTACTCTATCAACCTGTATATCAACATATAGAAATGTTTATTGAATGAATATCTCTTTAATATTGAACACAAATTTTAATTAATTCATTGTTTGTGTAATTAGTTGTTTGTCCAGCCTTACCAAGACTGTAACCTTCATGTAAGTAGGCCCATGTCCATCTTGCTCACAACCAATCTCCAGCACATAGCACTGTGCCTGAAACACAGTAAGCCTTACTACATATTTGCTAAATGACTGAACAGAGAGGTTGGCCAGCCCAAGAAGTGGGGGAGGCCATTTTGGGCAGAAAGAGTATGTGCAAAGATGTGGAGAGGAGACAGGATAGTGTGTGTGGCTTGTAGGTAAATGTGGCTGAGGCATAGGAATAGGGGGCTAGAAGGCTATGAGCTGGGGTCCAATGGAACAGGGCTGTGGACTCAGTAAGGAGCTTAGGTTTAACCCATGGGTAATAGTGAGCGAAGTGATCTGGTTTAAGTTTTCGAAATCTCACTCTGATGACCTTGAGGAGGTCAGAATCTATGGGACAGGAGGAGGAAGTGAACTGAGGCAGGGGTTCGATGTTTGGAGAGGAGTGGATGTAAATGCCATTCTGGAAGCTGAATGAGCAGGAGGTTGGAGCAGGAGTAAGACCTGGGCTCTGGCTCTGGCTCTACCTAGGACACCTCACTGCCTACCTCACAGAGAGTGATACCACACGAATGGAGGTGAGTGTCCACTACATCTCAGCTGGGATGTGGGAGAGGAGGTATATCTCTTGCACTTGGTCTTCCCAGAGCTGCCCCCTGGTGGGACAGGCTTGAGGCCCAAGAATACCAGAGATCAACCCTCTGCATGGACATTGCCTCCATCATCTCTCTTTTTGTGTCCACTCCCCAGTTTGGCCTCAAGGTCTGGTCAGTTCCCCAAGTACCCTGGAGCCCCAGAGTCCCTGGCCTAGACCCAGAGTCCTAGCCTGCTCCAGGCTCTCCTAAGGAGGACACTGTCCAGAGAAGCCTTGGGACCCTCTCCTGAGCAGGCAGAGCACTGGCTGAGATGATCTTTGACTGGGATTCCAGTTGGGATGGCTGTAAGGGGACACCTCAGGCAGAGAGAGGCAGGCAAACCGCAGGCTCAGGCTTTCTGGGAGCCAGAAGAGGGAGAGCATTAGCGATGTAACCCTTTCAGCACCACACCCAAGCAGAAGGCAGGACGCTGTCCTTTTTGGCAGCCCTGGTGCAGTGGCTTGTGAGAAGTGTTGCTGGGAGAGTGGGGGGAGGCCGTGTCAGTGTCTGAATTCACCTCCACAGGCCTGAAGAGAGGAGCCAGCTGGTGTTGGCAGCCGGGGCTGTGGAGTGTGTGTGGGAGGGGGGCTACAAGCCACCTGGGGCACCCAGGCTTCCCTCAGGCTGCAGCCTGCCCTGGCTGGGAGGGGCTCCTGGGCCACAGACCCCGGTAGCCAAGCACAAATGGCAGCTGCATAGAAAGTATTCCCCCAGATGGTGGCATCCCAAAGGACTGAGGTCAGACTGTCAAGGTTGAGGAGGGAAAG